TTACTTTCTTCTCATTTTTCCATCACCAGCTATACTACAACATATCATGAACTCGGCACAATTGTCACTACCCTTTATCACATGATATAACATGGTATACAATTTTTCTTGCTCTATCTTGTGGCAGAGGAAATCACGTCTGCCAACACACGTGGAGATTTTCAAGACATTTCACAAATACTCAGGTTGTTCTGAAGCAGGTGCTGGCCATGCATAGCAGTTGTCATCCAAAATCAGGAAGAACTCTCTAACTCCATTAGAAAACAGCATTCCTTTATTCCTTACAATGCATACTGGGTGATTTGATCAATTAAGCACACCTTCCCAGAGTTCAAGTTCTACATTTAAATAGTTAACACCTACATATGCAATACATTGCACACTTACTCTTTCCCCAAAACTCACTAATATATGCTAATATCCTTCTGAGTGTGCATGGTAGTGGCCTCCAGTGGTCATAGATCGCTTACTTACTTTCTTCTCATTTTTCCATCATCAGCTTTGCAACAGTGACTTTCGGATGACTTTTAGCTGGTTTTCCCCCATTTAGCAAATTCCCATTGCTTGTTAGGGCATAATTAGCAACTTTCTATCTTTGAGCATTGTAACTCAGAACAATATACCAACGTAATACAATATATCGAAGGTAAAAGTCCTCGCACCTGGTGGATGCAAAGATAAAAGTAGCCTACCGTGGCTCCAGTACTCCTGTGAGGCAAGATCATTGAGAAAAAACAAGATTGTCCACACACCAACCAATGCTAAAATGGAAAGTTTTAGAACTGGCACTCATTGATTCCATTTGCTAAATATATTAGTCCTTAAACTAATATACTGATCCCTATTGCTAAACCACCTTATATCACAGCTGAGGAGACTTGCAACTTATTCATTCCTCTTCCAGCCTTAAATCTAACAAATTCTGCTCCTAAGCCTTATGATACAAGGCAGTCTGAATGTGAATGAATTCCAGAGTGAGATGTTTTTTCTGCTTTCCAGATGGCGACCTCCTGTGCAGCTATCCTACTAGGCCAGTCAAAGAGGAGTTGCATGTCTCAAGCATAAGACAATAAAATAGAGAGCAGAAAGGCACCAGATAAGACCTCCTGCCCCCTGCGTGGCTCCCTGTGGCTGTGCTGTGGGGCACAGCCTGCCTCCTGCTGGCTTCCCCTATAGCTCACTGTGGCCTGCAGGCCAGGTGCTGGGGTCAGGGGCCAGAAAGGCCTTTACAATAATACTGATACCACAAAGACCATGGAAGATTGTGCTGATCCCTAGCAGAGAACT